GCCATTGCCATACGTTTGGCTCTAAATTCCACAGAATTGAACCGAGGTTCACCAAAATCAGTATGATCGATCATTATCCACCCCTTGAACAGGAAGCCATGATAATTGGCCAATAGCCTCCACAGTGCCCCCTAGAATATTTTAAAACCTCAGCTCCAAGACATTTTTTGACCGATAATTCTGAAACTTGGCGAACTTCTGTATCTTCTTTGGACCTATGAAAAAGTCTCCTGGAGCCCTGGTCCAAACTCAACAGGAAGTCAGCCATTTTGGGTCAAAGGGTCATTTTTGGGTGTTTCTAATGGTGAATTTTAACAAACTCCTCCTAGGGATTTTGAGTGATTGCCTTCAAACTTGATTAATATGCCCTTAAGACATTGGAGAGTAAAAGTTATCAAATGCTTTCGATTTCGTTTTGTTAAAGGGGCATGGCCAGACTTCAAATTTGCGTTTCATGCAATAAATTTACAAACGCTATAACTTTCACATTGAAAGACCACAATCCAACAAACTTGGCATGACTCATCCCAGTTGGATACCCGATGATCTGCTGTGATCATATTTTGACATCATGAAAGCCCCGACCCCTCAGAACAGGAAGTCTGTTTTTTTACTTGGAATGTTGCCTCTTTGACACCCTTGACCTAATCAGGATGATCCTGTCTTACAATACAGATAAGATGGTTTGACTTGATTTAAAGTGTAAACCGTTTTTGCTGGAGGATGTGGGCGTGGCAGCGTGGAAAATTAAGAAGTGATGCCATTGCAATACGTTTGGCTCTAAATTGTACAGATTTCAACCGAGCACTATGATCGATCATTATCCAACCCTTGAAAAGGTAACCATGCTAAGTGGCCAATATCCTCCATAACGCCGCCTACATTATTCTTACAGTTATAGCTCAGTGATAATTCATCCAATCTGTACCAGATTTATTGTGCGTGATCAGTGATCACTTATAGACACATTGGTATTGTTCTTTAGCATTTGACTCCAATGTGCCTCCTAGATTATTCTAACAGTTATAGCTCAGTGATACATCATCCTATCTGAACCAAATTTTTTGTGCATAGACACACTGGTATTGTTGTTTCATGACTTATCTTAAGCCTGGCCCACTCAGAGAAAAAACTGATGATTATTGGATGACTTTTCCAGCTTGGCGCTATGTAAGATTTAAGACTGAAACCGTATTCACTAACTGTTGATTACCACATATGACATGTTGAAAAGCCTAAAGGAAGTCCTTTACATTCGTGACAAAACAGGAAGTGACAATAACTCACGTCTGGAAGGTCAGATTTTTGCCAAACTTGTAAGGCTTGAAGCCAGACTCATACTGATATGGGCAGGAGGTAATTGCAAAGTTTCGGCATATCCACATGCTGGTGGATGAGTGCGGGAATGGCATGAGAGCATTCGCGACGGCAATTTGGGAGGCGTTGCTGGAGCTCCCGCGGTCACTGGTGAAGTCGAAGTTTCGGCGAATGTGCACCCCGATGAACGGGCATGGGACAGGCGCCAGAGCATTTGCGATGGCGACTGGGCGGAGTAGCTCAAGCTCCCGCGGTCGCCATAAGTTCAGAACGGTGCTTTGCTGTGAGGGCTTTCAATGCTGCTTGCAGCTTTAATGTTCTTTTGTTACCCGTCCTGCTGCATCCTGTTTTGTCCAGCCTCCCTCCCATGTTGGATGTATCTCGTTTTTGGAATGTCAGGGGCCATCCCTTGAGTGGGGTGTACTGTAGGGTTTCTGGGATTTTGTCTTTGTCTGTTTCCTCATGTTTCCAGTTCAGCTTTCAGTGTTTTCCTTCCTTGGGTTCAGCCCTTATCTCACCTATGTCTAAAGTTAATCACTTCAGGGGTCTGTTATTTGTCCCAATCAGCTTGTGTATTTATTCAGCTCCCTTGTGTCTTGTCATTGTCTCTGGATTGTCCTTCTATTGTGTTGTGGTCTGTCTCCTGTCCAGTCTGCCCTGATCTGCCTGTTCTCTGTACCAGTGAGTAAGCTGCCCTGTCAGTGTTTTGATTTTGTTTTTGAGAATAAATATTTTGAACTGTTTACGTTGAGCCTCCTTGTCATCTTCCTGCTCTTGGGTTCAATGCACCAGATGTCAGATTGTGATAAGGAAAGTATCGGCAGGACTCAAGGCTGACAAGAAAAAAATAGTCTGCCTGAAATAATTAACAGTTGTGGCTTATCTGAATTTGGCTCCCCTGGTTGGCCTCGTAAGCAGGCCGACTTATCAAATTTCTCCTGGGATAAACTAAGGAAAAGCTTCATCAACCCCTCCCCCCGAAAATTTCTGTGAAAGCTTATCAGAACTATGCCGGCTGACCAACATCTTATCAGGACTATGGTCTACCTGGAAGTGCTTCATGGACAAATCTCACTGGCTTGCCGTCAAATGCATATGTGTTTATAAATGTGCTTGCTGGCAATTTTTTGATGTATTAAATCGTGTCCTGATAGGGCAAGGTGTGAAGAGATCTTTTTGGTAATGCCACTATCCTATCCTCATTGCTTTTCCCCCTTTTCTATCTAAAAAAATATTCTGAAAAAGGATAAGGGGTTGTACTCCAGTAGCAGCAGCAACGTCACTCCGCCCATCTTTTGGACAATGGCAGGAGGTGGGATGATGGCATCATAGTTTTCAAAAGGTTATGTTTAGACCAGGGATATTGAACTGGTCGCCTGGGGGCCAAATCAGGCCCACATATGAACTCAGTTCGGCCTACTAATAGGTTCATTTTTAAATAAAACTAGTTTTTAAACCATAAAACAAACTTAATGACAATAATTGCTGGATGTCTGGCTCCTGAGCTCTTGGCTTTCAGTAACTGTGCCCCCCTGAGCAATTTAGTTGAATAGCCCTGGTTTAGGCTGTCCTCACAAATACACAAGCATAGCATTTCAAAGTTTTTTCTACTCTTGAACTCGTTTTTAAAAAAACATAGTTTAGGGGCTGCTAGAACGCCATTTCATTTTGAGAGTCAGATTCAGAGATTCTTTATTGTCATTCGCACCACATGTGGTACATGTGGTGCGAATGACATGTGGTACATGTGGTGGAGCGAAATTATGTACACAGTATCCCAGTTACATCCAACAATAAAATGTATAAGAAAAACAATGATAACATCTAACATATGAAATAAGAAAAACATAAACTAAAATGCACTAAGCACTAATAGCATCAAAAAAATACGT